CTCTTGTAACAATTATCCGGGAACAAGCATCTCTTCCGTAGCAGTATTCCTTGTTCAAAATATTTGTAGAAGTCTGCTTTACTATTTTTTATTTTATAAATATGTTTTCCATAACTTTTAGTAGCATAATGATGTTCTGATGTTCTTATTCTTTTTTTCAATATACCTGATGTTCCCTTAAAAATAATATATCATTGTGATTCAAACACGATACTATAATCTAGACAAAAGGCCAGATACCCTCAAAAAGTTTAGTAACTCAATATGCTAAAGCTGTATATGGTCAACAGCAATAATGTTTCGCAGTCTAGCCTCTTCACAATATATCCTATATAGCGGGGCAATTTTTTCAATTTTAAAATTTTTATTTATTTATATGTACTACAATAACATAGGGTGTGATATAATATAGCGGGGCATGACACGTCTCATAAATTGAAGACGATGTAGCAGTCATATCCATATTGTTCAAAGTGCTACATAATGACATGTGTTTGCTGTACCTCCTCTTCGGTCTTCGTCTTCTCGTGTGTTTGTTGAGGTTGGGGTTGAAGTTTCTTTGTAAAAACTTGAAGCTTGCTACTGTTCTGGAACCACAATTTGATTTTGAGAAACAAGTCCATTTGTAAAACATGAAGCTTCCTCATACTATTACTTATTTTTTTTTTATAATCATTGGAACTGGCAAATAATTGGCGAATTTTCATATTTGTAAAAATACACGGACCTGTTTTTAAATGAAGCAGGTTGAATTGAAACTATACCTAATGTTACAATCTACTGTTTTATTGATAATATTATCAGTTGCACATAGTTGTGGTTCGTTTTCACTTTGATTCTGTTTCTTGGTAGGTCTCTTTTTCACCACGTGTCACTCACAGACCTAGAAAATATGATAAATTATCCAAATTTAACTCTATAGTAGAAAAATTACTATTTATGAAGATGTAAAAAATGATAAAGTTAAAATTAGTTTTGTCCAAAAAGTTTCTGTATTGTTTTCAATTTTGCTTAACTTGTCAATTTTCTTGACAAATTTCTGCTGCATTTTGTTTATTTGTTTGTTTTATTTGTTATTACTTCTCGCTCTCAATATAATCCAATTTAGTTCCAATCTCCATTTCTGTAACAGCTTTGAAATTTTGCTCTAATTTCCTCAGATTTGGAAGAATATCAAAATCAAACCTTTGAATGAAAGTTGCTAAATTGGATAATATATAATAATATGCCGATATTCGATATGTACTATCATCTTCTTTTGTATATCCTTTATTTCTTATTCACAAGACAATATTTAGACAACAAGTAAAACGTGTTTGGGCCATAAGACAAAAAAAAGAAAATAAAAACAGAAAAACAAAATACAGCAGTGAGCGGAATGATTTCCCATTAGAAACCTTCCTATAGACAAACTCAAATTTAACTAAAAATTATTGTGATAACAAAACAACCCAAATAAAAATTAATTTTGACGACACTACATAATAATCTAAAATATATTCACTGTAATGCACAAATAAAACGAACATTAGTTTCTAAAGCGGAAGTCGAGGGTTTTGTGTCTCTTTAGTTTGTTCTGGTAATGGGCTCTGAACTTGGGGTTTCACTCTTAGCAGTGTTCATGTGGAGGACATTGTGTATCGTGACGTTCGTCACATACCAGAAGGCCTGCACCAAGGTTCGCAGGCACTTCGACTGGAAGCGTTGTAGAATCTCCATATTGGAATTGCTAGCTGTTCCCAAAAGCTGGATGCCGTACATCCACACCGGCTTCAGCGATGTCTTGTAAATTAATAGTTTGTTGTCGAGGAATAGTGGAGTGAGTCGGCGATCCAAGAACAAGCCCAAGTATTTGGCATCATTGGCTTGCGGAATGGTTTTGCTGTTCAGTCTGACTGTGGGGCAGGTTCCCTTTCTAAGGGTGAAAGTGACATGGCTAGATTTGGTTACGTTGACTCTGATGCGCCACTTCTGGTACACGTCGAGATGTCTCTGAAGTCCACGCACTACAACAACGTTGGACGACAGGACCGCGACATCGTCGGCGTTGGTTGCAATTGTGGTTTCCTTGGATGTCGGCAGGTCGGATGTGAATTGAAGAAATTGAAGATGGTCGTCAGTACAGTACTATGGCCTTTCTGGTACTATCACCCTTGATGCACCTAGTGGCTTTCGACAGCGAGTACTCCGTCGCAGGTGTTGCGGACAGATTTTCGACGTAATCTTGGAACGTCTGGTTTCTGTACCTACTCAGCATGTCTTTGAGGTCTTTCGTTGCCATGTTGAAAAGGTTTTATCGATCGGTAGTTTGCTACTCTGCCATATGCGTCAAAGTTTCCTCTTCTCAGCAATCGTTTTCTTAATCGTAAATGGGCAAGACAGTGTTTCCGCCTTCTGGACTGTTGCAGGTGTTGCTGCACAGGCCGACCTCTGGATTAAGCAGTTCAGTTCTTCTATAGCCCCATCGATATTCGTCTCCGTTTTTAGCGGGATTCGCAGCACAATTTCAAACTCAGTCAGCATTCTGAGCATTCGGTACGGTTAGTTGTGGAGAAATGGCGGCGCCTCTCTGCTGAACACCTCAAAATTCACTATAACCGGCGAGTGATCGGAGGAGAGGTCCAGATACGACTGGGCCTGCAGGTAGTTTCTCGAGATCCCCTTGATCACTGTGGGATGTCGCATCTGCTGTGCGGCGTCTCGATCACCATCTTCATGATCTGCAGGTAGCTGCTTTTATGGACGTCCTTGTTATTCGCACGAGGAGCCAAGTCCACAAAGAACAGTGGCAACGGTTCATCTTAATAACCGAAATTTGTCTAAAGTTGTTTTCTCTACCTTATGTTTCTCCTAGAAATGTTATAAAACTATACATACAATTTGTAAAACCTACAATAAGTTGCCTAATTTATGTATTTATTACTGATGCAAAATTTGGGTTACTTTTCCTTTAAAACATAGCAAATTGGATATAGAAACAAATAAGTTGTGAACACATCTTTGTCATTCGTTTTGTGTAGTAAAATATATTATTGTATTTCCCAGCCTGTCTGAAGCTGGACTAATCGAGAAACATTAAAAACAACGCACAAATAGAGACTTAACTGTATAAAGACAAAACCCCAATAATGTATGTATACATTTTTTCCTTTTTTAATGAATAATGAAAATTATAATTAATTAATTTTTGAACATGTGTCTAATTTAGTATAAGGACATATATAAATTAATATACTGAAAATAGATTTATTACAAATTTTCTTTGATTTATTTCTAATTTTTCATATGGAAATAATATTTTATTGAATTATATTCATCAGACCATGTACCGCATTATTTTATACCTATTTATGAGATTTTTTCTTACAAGTACCAACGTTCAAAATAATTTTGTTTTATATCTGTGATAAAGTTCAGCGTTTGCCAAGAACGCTTGGATAGAAGCCAAACAATGCTCCGTGAATTTCATCAAAAATATCTTTATTTTCAAACAAATACACGTGAAAATTTTCAATTAATTATCGTTAAAACAAATATAAACCATTATTAACTTGAAAATAATTATATTGTAATTAAATTAATTAATAAAACACTACAACTATTAAGTATAATTAGTAAATAATTTTCTTGTTGATTGAAAACGAATATGTGTGGTTCATCGGGTACGCCGAATTTAAATTTTCTTCCATTTTTTTTGTATATAAGTTGGCATCTCTAATGTTTGACATTTGTCATCTCCTGTTATTAAAAATGGGTCGCTATACAAAAGAACAACGTATTGTGATTGTTAAAACACTTTACAAATTTGCCTAAAGTTTTGCGGAGACAGTTCAAAAAGTTTTTTTTGAGAATGATCTAACCATATGCCATACTGCAAAAGAAATTATCGATTTGTTAAGATAACATTTTCCTGGTCGTGTGTTTTCCAGAAATGCTGACGTTAATTAGATCAAAGGCGACTTTCTTTGGGGTTTTGTAAAGTCTTAATTTAAAAATTAAAATTTTATATCGAAAAAAAAAATCAATTTAAATTGGTTAGTTAAAATTTAAAATTGAGTCCAATCTAAAATTATGATTTAATTTTATTTACCAAATTCCCTTACTATTGGTTTCGGTTTTTCAATTGAGCAAGCGGTTACGGTTTTCGGTTCTGTTCCGGTTCGATTCTCTGCTAGTAATAATTGGAAATTTATACATTTTGTTTGCTGGTATAGATTAGAAGAAATCTTTATATATTTCTTAAATTTGTTAAAAATTGTTATGTATACTATTTTTTATAAGTTATATATTTCTGTGTTCAATTAAAAAAATATCGAATTTTCTTGTATGTCTCTACTATTTATGATAAAATTGAACACAAAGTAAAAATTTATTTTGAGAAACGTTTATTGACACTGCATTTATAATTGTTGAAATTTTCATATACGTATATAAAAAAATACTACATATAATACAATTTTGTTTGTCTAATATAGACAATAAGCAGAATTAGTTTTGATAAAATAAAATGAATTGTAAGATTGATCCAGTGACCAATCCTCGTATAGATTAATTCACCCACGCACATACACGTAGTGTTATCAAATCTTGTTGGCAAATTCTAGTGTTTATATCTCTTTGGTCGACAATGCTGGTCACTTGTATTTTCCAACTACGACGCAAGTAGGTTTGGGTGGACTTCTACCATATAGTGATATCTTCTACTGGTGAATGTTATCGTTTGTAGCGTACCAAAGAGAATTTGGTGATTTGTCTCAATTTTTTTCACTAGAATCTCTGGATTATATCAATACTCGACCTACAGGCATATCCCCAAACCTGAATGTCATAGGTCCATATTGGCTTGATGATTACTTTATAAATAATTTACTTATTTTCCATGGATGCGTAAGAGTTCCTGTCCTTAAGCCATCCTCAATGCCGATTATCTCCCTTTTTTCTTTATATGAGCTTTTCACGTCATATTGAAAGTATTTTTCATATTGTGTTGATTGTTTCAGTTTTCACAAATCAAAAGGCGGAAGTGGAGAACGAGTCTACTCCGTACTTCTGCAGGAGCACGGCAGAAACGTGCTTCAGTCATGAAATAATCAAGGTACCGGAAATCGGTTCAACGTCGTTTAAGACGTACGCGAGCGCCACGTTTCCGGATCCTTCGTCCTCGCAGCACCAGCAGGACCTACAGTTCTACGAGGGCAGCCCAAAACACTTCAACCACCACCATCTCCATCAACACAACCACCAAAGAGACATCATCAACTCACCAGATCTCCTAGGGACGAAGAAGTTCGTTGAACTCGACCTGGTTGCTTCCTCCGTGCAAAAATCGGTATACGGAACACAGCCTCCTCTCCCAAGCATAACCATAACTCAGCCAGAAGTAAATGGAGAAAACAACCTTGAGAGGCAACGACCTGAAGGTGAAGAGAAAACGGTGATGACCGTTGAACTGGTACCGATAGTTTCGGTGATGGAGACGACAGTCCCAATTAAAGGAGACAATTTGGATGCGGTCATGGATAGCATAACGCTTGACCTAGATTATCTGCTGAACGGAAACGATTTTGACGAGGAGACGGAAGGTGGTGTTAGTAATACCGGAAGCGTTGGTACCCAGCAGGTATCGACGGCGACGGCAATACCTTCCGGCCCTAGACGTATCTCTCGTCCGCCGTCTCTGAGCGTCTTCGAGCAAATCATAGAGGAACCAGAGGAAGACATGAAAGTACCGGAAGCAATTACGAACGTGTCAAGAACTAATTGCTGAGCGAATATCAAATATCACTTTTCTTAGGAATACTTGAGGGTTATCGTAACTTTTGCATAATAACTGGAGGGGAATGAAAGTAACGTAAAATGCGACCCGCTGAATATTCAAAGTTTCCTCTTTCCGTACCATTTACTTTCGTCAAGTTTTCATTTAAGAACTAGTCTGCAGACTTATTTGCATTTACAATTAAAACGAACCCAAAGATATTTCTGTTGCAGCTGTCCGTGAACTGAAACTACAAACGTTTGAATTCAGTTTTGCAGAAAAGTGTAAATAATAATTATAAAAAAAAATATAGGCAGACATGTAAATAAATAAATAAATAAATAGGATTGTGTACAAACAAAATGGATAAACTCTGTGATATTTGTAATCTATGTGAAATTCGGCATCCGTTGTACTTTTTTGAGAGTTACGTGGTGCAAATCAAAGGACAACGACAAAACTATTCACAAGAATCGCTCAATCTTTTTAATCCTTGTATATAAATTATATTGTATTTAAATACTTTAGCGGAATTTTAACTTCTCAATGTCAATGTTAATATAATACTTTTTTATTTCCTCTCCCATACACCTCTATCACATACATACAAACACACACTAATGGAAATTTTGTTTTTGTAAAAATAAATGATTAATAAAGAAACCTCGCATTTTCTCTTCTTCATTTGCGGAATTTCATTTCAGCTGTGGATCTTGTTTATTTTTTTTTTCCTGACGAGGTGAAAACGAAGAAATTCAAGACATTCGGTTCGTTTTATCATCGCCTCCCGGCTCTTCTCGTCTCGTACATCCGAACCTCGGTCAAAATTAACTTGAACATCCGAGTTATTTGCACAAAGTCAATACCAAAGCATTACATTTGAATGAACATCTCATATGACCTAGTTAATATATGTATGCAATTAGGAGAAATTCAATTTGATAAGAATAAACTTATAATAATTAACAATGAAAATTAATAATAATTATTTCTTAGGTAATTAATTTTTATTTTTGAGGTAAGTCATAATATCTAAGAAATAAAAACAATCTGCGAGGTTTTTAATGATCCGGTTTTGTTGTATATTTTTTTTGGCGAATATTCGTAATCCCGTGTTTTCTGGGTATTGCCAGTTGCGACCGAATGGGCTTTCGCTCTTATCGCTGCGGAGTTTTTTTGATAATTCTCTTAGCTTATCCTGACATACCGGGCGCACTTTGCGCAGTTTGCGTAGTTTTCCGGTATTTCATTCGGTTTCATGCATTCGCTGGTTATATGATCATCGTTGCATTTTGTACAGCGAGACTTCATTATGCAATTGGTCATTGCATGTCCCCATCTTTGGCATCGATTACAATGGCACATGATTTTATTGTTTTTTTTATTTTTCTACTCTCACTTTGATATTGTCTTTTATGCGATTACAATTGGTGGCTCTACTTACATTAAAGAGGTACACGGAGCTGTACTTCCCTCAATCATTGATGTTTTGACGTTTATCTTTAATTTATCGGATATCTCTGTCTTGAGACTATCTAGTTCTGTTCATTTTTAAGCCTTTAATAACGAAGCTATGTGTATCTTCTTCCTTCAGGATTTAGCTGTACGAGCACCTGCTGTATTTTTCTATATGTTTCTACAGATGATGTAGATATTATTAGGCAGAATACTATGAGTTACCTCAAATCCAGTTTTGTTCACTCGCTTTCCTGTTTATTGTTTCTCGGCAAACAATACCTTCTTTAATGATTAGCGGAGGGGTTTTCATTAGGTTCGAGGGGATATTAGTTGTTCTAATAATTTTAAAATAAAACCATGAAAAAAAATTATAACGGATTCCTTCAAATTAATAAAATGTGTTCACAAAGAGTAAGAGCCGGAAATCCGAACCCCGACTCTCAACGTGCAAAACCGGTAAACTATCGAAATTGAATTGACCCTCCATAATTCTATTTATTATCTTAATTTAACTTACATTTTGAAAATTATGGTTGAATTAATAAAATATAATTCGATTGCCTAAAGTAATTTTAGTTGATAATATTTGAAAATGTATTGAAATTATGATAATTCTTTTTCACAAATTTACCTTGAAATTTATAATTAGTTTTGGATTTGGTTTATGGATTATATCATTAAATTATTTTTTTTTGTAAAATCTCTTGATTCTTAATTATAATGAATTGCAAGTCTAAAATCTTACAGCAAAAGATTTTCTGAATGGTATAAAATGGCTTTTAATGTTATGATTTATATCTTAATTATATTTTTTACTTCATAATTATTGATAAACGTTGAGGGTGACTAATTAATTAATGAAAATACGATGATAAAGTTATTCTTAAATACATTATTAAAAGAATATTAACAATTTTGTTAAAAGTTTTATATAATTTCTCGGCTGAAATATATCAACTTAAATAATAATAATATTTATTGAAACAGTAAAAACTACCAAATAAAAACTTATTTTTAAATACATTATTAAAAGAATATTAACAATTTTGTTAAAAGTTTTATATAATTTCTCGACTGAAATATATCAACTTAAATAATAATAATATTTATTGAAACAGTAAAAATTACCAAATAAAAAAAAACTCAATAATATATTGACCATAGGTCTTTCTGTCCAATATATACATATCAACTTATTAACAATTATTTGTTTTAATTTAATAAAAAAAGCTCAGAATGTTCTACTATCCTTCACTAAATTTAAATATTAGTTTTGCAATATTAAAAAGCCACATAAT